ATTGATATCTTATTGTCATTAATTAATGTTTGTTTAAATAAGATTCATCCTGAATGATAATCGATTCTTCCTATGCAACCGTATGAGCTTTAATCGATTTGTTCTTATGAATATGCTGGAATCGACTATTTAGTCGATCTTCTCTCATATCGGCTCTCAGAGCCGCACATTCGAAACTGTCTGGCAACACCGGCACGTTCCGCCCTTAATTACTGATAAGTTTTCTCTCATTGTCAATTGCAGGGTCAAATTGACTGGCACGTCTCGGGAGGATTGCGTAGGATCGACCACCCTTTCGCTGAAGCCAGGCGGATCAGCTCCACCGAGCGGACCCTTCCGGCTTACTGCGTGTGGCCTCGGCATGGAGACGAAAATTCTGTGTCGACAACGGTAAGGCCCCCCACATGTATCTGGGCATCTACAGTGTTGTGGACGCCGGCATTTACCGTACCTGGTAGAGCACGGTAAATCCTCCCACATGCATCTGACAATAACAATGTTGTGGGCGCCTACCATCATCTTGTACCCGACTATGTGGATAATAAGACTTACCAGCATACACACTCTCCCTCTCTCTCGCTTGTAAGGCCGTCTCCTTCATCTATAAAAGGGGATGCGCTCTCTCCCGATAGAGGACGATCAACTCTCCACCAATTCAACATACAACAACAGAACCACCACGTTCAGACCTCGAGCGCACGCTCGAACACTTAGCAGAGCTCCTGTCACTCTTGGTCCTTTAGACTAGAGTCCGACCGAGCCTCTTACATTCCCAATCTTTCTTCCTCTCGTTTGTAACCCCACAGCAATCTTCGAGCACCTGGGCTCAGGAATAAAGAATATATATATATATATATATATATATATATATTTCATCAAAAAACCGGATATATAGATCGGTCGACTGGACAGCTAGCATCATAAACAGTAGTCGCAGTACAAGAGTACATTAATTTTATTTACAATTTAAGCGTCACCTACGTGTTCGGGGAGACGCACTTCCCGCTGTCGCAAGCTGCCAAACTTGCATTGCAGGGGGTACATATATATATATATGGATATATATCGACCACTTGCATGTTTTATTAAATCATTTTCCGTCAGGAGCAACCACCTGATGGCGACTTGATCTTTCTTGAGCACGTACTTTTCCCCGACAACAATACCCAGTTTGGATCCTATCCGTGTCTGTGTGCACTGCAGGTGGCGTCGATGTGTGTCGCACTGCAAACATGTGGTGCAGCACAAACTTCTGTTGCCCATATATGCATGCATCTTGGATGCATCGTCATCAACACCTAGGTTAACACAATAGACGATCGATGTGGAATGTGTTGATTGCATGCATATGCTATTGCCACATGCACACGTGAAGAGTGAAGCCACGTTGCACAGCAACAGCACAGAGGAGAAAGTCGTCTCCACAAGCCACAAAATTCCTTATTCATTCAGAAAGAAAAAGGAAAAAAATACTGACGCATACAAAGACATATTGTCGAACGTTTGATACCGTTTGTTTAAGTATATGCGCATATAGTACCATAAATTAATCACGCGCAGCCTTTAATAACTAGTTTCATGCTGTTTCTTCAGCGCTATTGCAGCGGCTTTGCTGGTGCATTAATGCAGCAGACTTGAGTCTGCCAACGATCTCCTCCGCCGTGACTGGGAAGCCTTCGTCCACCTATAATAAAACAGAGGAGCATTTAATTAATTAGTTGATCTGATTCATTCATCTTGTCATTAACTAGAGTCTTAGGTAGTAGTAACACGCTACCCTCAGAAGCAAAAATCTGACACATAATCTTAACAAGATATGGAAAGATTTGAAAGAGCCGCGCATACGATGGTTGTGGCAGGAGTGGGTAGATGACTCAAAACCTTGGGCGGGGATGGAACTGTCGTGCAATGATCTAGACCGATTTCTCTTCAACGCCTCAACCACGATAACAATTGGAAATGGTAACAAAGGCACGTTTCTGGCACCATAATTGTCTAGAGGGTGAAGCTCCAAGATACCTAGCACACCACCTTTTCGACCTAGTACGCCGAAAGAACAAGACGGTTTGCCAGTACCTACAAAATGGTAACCGGATCTAATCCCTCAAGACGCAAATCACAACATCATATCCGTACAGATACAAGAATTTGTCGCCCTCTGGATCAAGCTTCAGGATGTGCAGCTGACGCCTGATGTGCATGACTCCATAGTTTGGAGGTGGACGACTGATGGAAACTACTCCACACATTCAGCGTACAGGATACTACAGTTCTGAGGTTCACACGCAAGTTCTAGGCTGATCTTATTTGGAAAGCAAGGGCGATAAATAAATGCAAAGTGCATGAGTGGATACTAATACATGACAAAATCCTTACGGCGGATAACATGCAAAAGAGAGTGTGGCCACATCAAGAGCATCGTGTTTTGTGTAATGGTCCTTTGGAGACAAGGTTGTATCTATCTCTGCTATGCCCCTTCGCCCGAGCCGTTTGGTGCCAGGTGTTATCCTGGGAAAATTTTGATGTGCACAGCTGCCCCCAACAAGATCCCCACTGCCTTGCCGAATGGTGGGAGGACATGGCAAGCAAGGTGCCAAAGCAAGTATGTAGAACGTTTAATGGAGTGCTTATTTACATTGTGTGGAACCTATGGAAGAAAAGGAATTGGAGGAGTTTCGAAAATGAACACAAAATGTCAGAACAAGTCACCTCATTGGTCAAGGAAGATATTGTTCAAAGGCGGCCATGTGTATTGTGGGGTAAGTCAACAAATGTGTGAGCGGTGGCTATTTGTGTTTGGTCCTAAGACCGGTGTGTTTGGCACCATGGGTGCTCTTGTTTATTAAACTCTATTTTTATTTTAATTGAGTGGTAGAGCTCCTGTCTTTATTATAAAAAAAATCTTAACAAGATATATAAGCTGTGCACCGTACCTTTTGCGTAGCTCGACTTTTCGAGTAGTTGGGAGACAGATTTTGAAATACTAAGAAGGCATCCATATTCCATTATCCTACGATTGGCATGTTCGTGTGCATGTGTGAGCATCTGTGTTGCATTTTGCAATGACAATACTGCCACTACTACAAAATCCATTAGTAATGCCACCCCAGGGTGCTTTAAACTGCCAGTGATATCGCATTGCGGGCTCGTGCATGTGAAGCAGCATCGAGTATATGCTATATCTTGTTTCCTTTTTTGAAATGGGAAATACTGTCGATTATTCACCCGACAGTGACAGCCAATGCTACCACTACCGATTGTCCATAGTCGGCTCCGAAAACGTACTGGCAGTGAGGTGATTTCCTAACTACCAGTGCTCGATATGGTTCTGTTCTACGTAAAACCGTTTTAGTTAATTGGTAGTATAACTGGAGCACAACTTAAGATCCAATGGTTAATAGCACATCGATCGAGTGCTTATAGCAGGTTACAATACATTAAATTGAAACTGTATCGAGGATACAAAAGATCCTCAAATGAAAATATATATAAGAACAAAGCAAATTTATAATTGATCTCTTTAATTAGAACAAGTAAATACTCCTTTGAGTTAGAACCATCTAATTATTAAATGACCCTCCTTTAAAACAAAATTTTCCTACTACACAAATGTTCATGAGATTTCTACACAAAACAAAAAATTTCCTAGGCAAATGTTGGAAGTGGTTGGAAACACATGTACAATAATAATGGAACAACCTGTTTTTAACTCTTTAAATAGTAGTTGGACGACAACTAGCTATCGAGAACAATCCATAATTATGTACTTTAATATTTGAAGCTGCAATTAAGTTTTCTATGTAATATCAGTGCAACAAAACCATCATGTAGGGGCACTACTTTTTTTTTTTGTAAATCTGTCATCTTGTCTAGTTTTTACATGCATATTGACATTGTATATATGGTTGCTTATTATCGTAGGATCCATTAAACGTATAAGTATGGACATTTTGTTAGATGTTTTGGATGTGGAATGTGTAGCATGGACCTTGGAGACCTTTTTTTTTTTAAGTATTGAAATTGAACTTATCTTGTACAAACTTGATGTGTTAATTATTCACTATGAAAACAACATTTTGGATGTTTGAGAATGACATGATCTAGAACGAATGATGTGAGATTCAGACATTCAGTTCGATAGTGAGGCATGTCTAGTGATTGTTCATCTATGATATAAGAGGTCTTGAGTTCAAGGATGCTTCCCCCAAAAGCATCAAATTTTTAGTTTACTACATATTTTCTATATATATAGGAATATGTAGAGTGACTTGACTCCTTGTGCGTTTTGAAGAAATTGAAAGATATTAACTGACCCCTAGAATTTACTATGTGTCACATGTGCTGGGTCGATAGAGTTTCTCTCTCTCTCTCTCTCTCTCTCTCATGATGAAAGTAAAAAGTCCACTTAAGTATCAGTGTTAGTCTATTTCACCCTCTCATCTTTCGTCTATTTCACCCTCGCACCGAGGAAACCAAGTGAGCAATACCTGGTTTTCTAAATGACATAGTGAAGTAGGCAAATAATGCTAATAGTTGAGAGGACTAAGTAGACTTTTCCTTCACAAAAAAGTAGACTTTTTCCCATCATAAAATAAAAAGTTGAACAGTGTGGGGTTTGTCTCTTATTTGTGCTACAAAAGGTGGCTGAGATATGATAACATGCATGGAATATACATAGTGAAATAGATGAGTTATAAATAGCATTTACCTAAATGCTAAACACAATCGCTCATTTACTATTTAACCATTAATCGGGCCAAACAATCGTTTAATATAAGCATAAACAACTTATCAAAGTGCACAGCACCACAATTATAATATAATATAATATAATATAATATGCTTAATGGTACTAGCAAATTGTATTTTCACTATATTATTCTCTTCACCACTTATATGCATCACGATGTTCTTTACCAAATTAACGACCATCACAACATTATTTACCAAATCAGGGCCATCACAATGTTCTCAACAAGAGATGCAGCATTATATTATTGTTATGGAAAATGAAAAAAAAAACTTGCCTTCGCTGTGATGGTTATGATCAAAGTGCAAGCCTGGAATGGCATGACATTGGCGTGGATGATGCTGAGGTGGAGCTCCTCCAACTCGGCCAGCACCCTCACGGCCACTCCCTTGCCATCCACGCAGTGGATCCTCACCATCACGTTCTTGTTCATGAATCGGGCTTCTATCTCCGGCAGCGGATTCCTCGCCGGCGACGTCCCCGACGAGTCCCACGATGGGGAGGAGCCAGCAGCATCCTCGTCAGGCACTGCGATGCACTGTTTCTTGACGAGCACCCAGGAATCGATGATGCTCCGGTCGTTACTGCCACTGCCGCCGCCGTCTTCAAGCGACTTGAGCTTTTCTTGCAGCTCCTTCACGTATCTCGTCGCGTCAGAAAGGATCGTAGCCTTGTCCATCTGATCCCAGCGCGTTGCATGGACGGTGCAGTTTTCTTTTCGTCAGGAACAGAACAGAATAACAGATGCAGTTAACGAAGAATTGCAGGGGATTCAGTTAGTAAATTGGATCAGGAGTTCAGGACCTTCTTGAGGCCGGGGATGACGGTGGAGAGCTCGATGAAGCGCTGGTTGATCTTCTCCCGCCGCTTCCTCTCCGCGATGATGTGGTCATTCGCATAGATGGACCCCACGCTCTTCAAGACGACGGCCCTCGTCGTCGCCGGTGACGACCCGTACACCAGATCTGGCAGCAGGCTGCCCGTGGCAGCGGCCTCAGGCACGCCGCCGTCGCGGCCAGCCGGCGGTGCCAGGGCGGCGCCAAAATTCCAGCTCACGGGCTGCGTGGTGGCAGTGGCACTACCGCTGCTGCTTCTTCTTGGCGCGGTTCCTGAGATATTGCCTGCGGTGCCACCATCGGTGGTGTTGGTGTCCCCGTCGCCGCCGGAGCAGCGGCCGCTGTTTGCCGCGTGAGGTTCCCCGATCAGCTCCTGGATCATTTCTGCAGCTTGTGAGGCCTCGCGGAGTGCTTGGAGCGAGGGGAAGGTAGCTCCGCCGCGGCCGTCGTCGATGGGCTCATCATGCTGCAGCGTAGTCATCGCCCACTGCATGAACAGGGCGGAGTCCTCCTCCATGTTGCCAGATGGGTGCTAGCTATGTACCTGCAAGCTGTGCAGCCAGAAGTGACGATTTTCTTATTACTACAAATATAGGATCATTTAGTCGTCAACGGGTAATGGTTTAAGACCACAGGAAATTAATAGCTCAAAACCTTTTTATTAACACATTTTAATGAAATAAAGCCACATATGCATGTGGACCATCTTGCTACAAATGTATTAGTGCTAGTGAGAAATTAAACTAGGGCAATATACTATTGCTAGTGAGAAACTCGGTTACCTCAAAATCCTTGCAAATGGTTTGCTTAATGCTGTGCAGGGTACTAATAATTGCCTGTGCTAAACAATACCCTTTTATAGCTAGACTAGATGAGCCGCCACTCACAATGCTCCTCTAGTCTCTCTCTATAATGTTTCTCGCATGAGGCCTTAGCTTTCACCACTCACCAGTCGGCCCTTTTTTTATAGCACCCAAAAGCTAAGTAAGGAAAAGTTGCAGTCGTTTTCTGAGATTCCGGTTTTTGTGGCCTTTATCTAGCTAGTGAGATTGGTATTTAGTACACCTCGAATGTGATTCATGAGGCAAATAATTCTCATTCGACCTCCTATCAAGTCAAGATCTCATGTGGGTTGTACCTGCTGGGAACAGGGTTTGTGCGATTGATTGATCTGCAGTAAATAGTTATGTTTTTGTCGAGATGGTCACGCTGCTCTTATCCATCTAGATAACGGTGTTGGAGCATCTCCCTTTTCTAAAATTCACTCTTTAAATCTTAGAAAGCCATTTACAAAATCGTTTGCTATATCTTTTTACTCTCCAACAGTTTTTTATATCTTGTTTGCACTCTAGAAAGTCATTCTCGTTTTCCATCTTTGACTAGCGAAAAATCCAAAATAAAACAAGGCTATATTTAGATAACCAATTAAAAAAGTTGTTGGATGATATATTTTTTTTTATCAAATCTCTATTCCTAACTGTCGGTGCAGAAAATAACCAACACGTAAATATTTGTAATTTTATCGTACGTTGTGATCGGATGTGATCTAGCACTCAATGACACAGGGTTTATACTGGTTCAGGCAACGTGCCCTACGTCCAGTTTGAGTCGGTCGGTGACTTTATTCCTGAGCCCAAGTGCTCGAAGTTTGCAGTGCAGTTACAAACGAGAAGGAGAAAGATGGGGGTACAAGAGGTCCGGTCGGACTCTGGTCTGAGGGGCCGAGAGTGACGGGAGCTCCGCTATGTGCTAAGTGTTCGAGCGTGTGCTCGAGGTTTGAACCTGTTGGTTTTGTTGTTATGTGTTGAATCGATCTCAGTGAACTGATCATCCTTTTTGGAGAGAGCGCATCCCCTTTTATAAATAAAGGGGATGACCTTACCAGAGAGATCGTGTGTGTATGTATGCTAAGTCTTGTTGCCTACGCCGTCGGGTACAATATGATTGTAGGCACCCATAACACTGTTAATGTCAGATGCATGTGGAAGGTTGCGTCGTCTTCTTCTGGTATGGCAGACGTCAGTGCCTTCCACACTGTTGATGCCCAGAGGTATGCAAGTGGTTTTACCGTGCTCGTCTGGTATAGTAAATGCCGGCGTCCACAACACTGTTGATGCCTAGAGGCACGTGGGGGGAGCCTTACCGTGTTTGTCTAGTATGGAAGTTGATGGTGCCCACAACACTGTAGGGAAAATGTCGGCATCCGCAACACTGCTTAGGTTCTGACATGCCAGGAAGGTTGTAGGGTACTGTCCTGTAGGTGTAAAGGGTACGGTCTTTGGTACTGCATTTGACTTGAGTGCCCTACCTTACTTGCTCCGTCCGTTTCCTGGCCCTCACCGAGCGGGCGTCTCCGGTCGGTTGGTCCCAGTCGGCTCTGATCGCGCCAGTCGGAGAAGAACTGTAAGCAGAGGTTCGACGCATCCCCGGTCGAAGGCGCGGGGTTGGAGTCAGCGGTGGTGTTTGGCCAGGCCTTCCGGTCGGAGAGGACATCTGGAGGTGTTCCGGAGTTGGAAGCGAGCGCTCTGGTCGGAGAGGCGGGCCGGAGTCGGAAGCTGGCATCGTTCCTCCTCGGCCAGGCCTTCTGGTCAGAGATTTGGATCGCCCTTCTAGCCTATCGTATAGGTATTTGGGCCGGCCCAGGAGTTGCACGCCGTTCGCAACGTTATCTGCTGGGCCTGAAAGGATTAAGATGCCCAAGAGGGGGGGTGAATTGGGCTAATTCTAAATTTCTTTGCAATAATTAAATTCTATGGTTAGCCCAATTAACCCCTTGTGCCTAAAAAGTGTTTATAATTGTTCTACTGCACAAAAGACTTGCAACCTAAATTCCAATCCTACTCTAGCATGACAATTCTATGAATGTAAAAACAAGAATTGAATTGCTCAAATTAAATGCTCAAAGTAAATGCTCAAAGTAAATAGAGAAGGAGGAACGCGGCGATGTTTTTGCCGAGGTATCGGAGAGTCACCACTCCCCACTAGTCCTCATTGGAGCACCCGCTCAAGGATGTAGCTCCTCCTTGATCTGCGCAAGGATCAAGTGCTCTCTACGGGTTGATTCTTCGACACTCCATCGCGGTTAATCACCCACAACTGCTCACAATGCGAGTTGGGTCATCCACAAGCTCTCCGGATGATCACCAAGCTCCCAATCACCACCAAGCCGTCTAGGTGATGGCGATCACCAAGAGTAACAAGCACGAACTCTCACTTGACCACGACAAGCCTAGGGAGAAAGATGGATGCACACTTTGCTACTCTTGATCTTACTAATGAAGGCTCTCTTTAGGATTCTCAAATCTCAATCACCTCACTAGGACCTTGCTCTTCTTGGCACTCTCTAAGGTGTTTCTCAGCTGTTGGAATGAGCAAAAGTACCCCCACACACGAGTGGAGGTTCTATTTGTAACACCGGCTGAAAAATGAACCGTTATGTGCCTCTACGGGGTGACCGAATGCTCCGGTCAGTACACCACGAATTCCAATGTTTACAGTGTGACAGGACGCGTACGGTCATGATTTCCCCTCTCTGGAACCTTACTGGAAACGATTGGATGCTGGATCTCAGCGTCCGGTCACTTGACCTTCCAGCGTCCGGTCGCACCGAACGAAATCACCTTGATCAAATGAACTGGCCGGACTCTGCGCTAGTGTCTGGTCGCACCGAAGCCAACGTCTAGTCAGTATTTGACCCTCCATTCACTTCCAACTCTCGATCATACGTGAATGAAGTTTGGGTCGGATCAGAGACTGGAGCTGCTGTAGGCTATGCTGGTATGATTGAAGCAGCCATCTCTGATGATGCCACTGAGGAAGGGAGCGTCTCTGTAGTCCCGGTAACAGGTGCAATGATAGAAGGACCTAGGACTTGTAGATATGGAGGAGTAGGCTGCCATGTCAACTCACTGAAGGAAGCACCAAGGCTCCTTGACACTGTAGTCTCTGGCACTAGCAGCGAGGACGTCTCTACCAGTGTGAAGCCCATCTGAAGAGGTGTGAACTACGGGGCTAGCAATGGCGAAGCAAAATACTGGGACACCTGCTCTGTGGGTGAAGCAAACTATGCTAGTGGCTGTCCCTAACTCTGAAGCCCACTTGACTGTAATGCTGGAGTCATAGAAGTAGTGGTAGGCTGACCAAGCTAGGGCGTAGACTGTGGCGGTGGAGCCCCAATAGCTGTCACAACATGCTGCATAAATCCAAGTAGCTAACTTTGTTGCATGAGGATCTCTGGCGATGCATGGCTGCTGCTTTCTTCTGTCAGAGCATGTGTGTGTCTTTGCTGAATAGCCACCGTTGTCTCTGTCTCTCAAACTCGTCCTCATGAGTCTAGAATCGTAAAAAGTAGCAGCTGTCTCCTGTGCCTAGCGAGCCTGATCCTGCCTCATCTGCTCTAGTATGGCAAGAAGAGCAGGGTCTGTATGCGATGCAGGTGGAGCTGAGCTGGAGCTGCCGGCCTCATGATCATGTCGACATGCAGGCATCTGAGGAATGTCTCGGTAGTCCTCGTCTGAGCTATCACTAGGGTCGCTCTCGACTGCCCCCTCCTGCTGAGCAAGCTACTCCTCCTCGATAGCTGCAATACCCCTAATAATATCATCCTGCTGGGCTGTAGTCTCCGGCACCTCAGGACGACGACGCGGCTGACTAGGTGCTATAGGTGTACTATGCCGGATCATCTAAGTCAGGTTATAAGTTGGGAACTCTGTCGTAGCACCACTGTACTCAGCTAACATCTCAGGTGGCCTAACTATGACTGCTCTATGGATAAGGAATGTGATCCAGTGAGCATAGGGTAGCTGCCTGTGACCTCTGAATCCCTCAGCTATAGTGTCCTCCATCTCAGACAGAAGAAGATCCCAAATATCAAAAACTGTCTACTACATCAGAGAGTTGATAAGCCACAACTGTATGTGAGTCAAGCCCTCGCGATACCCCATCATCGGTAGCAATATCCTCCTCATGATAGCCTCTAGCACACGAGCAGTAGGAGTAAGATCACTGGGGTTCCTACGCGACCCTTCGCCAAAAGGCTCTGTGAAACAGTGATGAACCAAGTCTGTAGGGGGCACCATACCACCATGAGGGTGTCTGGGAGGCGCTGTCTGTCCATAGCAAACCTCATGTAATCTGACAAGCTGCTCCTGAAGCCTGAGTATCTCCCTGACCCTAGTGCTCATTAGCCGGTAATCTCTGCCTCTGAATGCAAAGTGAATAAAGTTATGCTGCGGATCAATCCAGAGAGAAGCATAGAACTAACGAACCCAAGATGGAACATATAATCCGGTCCATCCAATCAAGTCTATCAGCCCCGACAGATATGCAAGGTAGGGGCGAATGTGCTCTCCAGCTGCTGCTACTATAGACTCAATGCTACAGACTCTTTGAGATCTAAAAATTGCCCCACTGTTCAGATAGGCATTGTAGAAATCCTCCTGCAGAGGTGTATAGAAACCCTCAGATGCACGCTCATCTCTCCTCGGAGGAAACCACACCTCAAACTCCACAAATCTC